TCCTCTCTCCCTCCTCCCTCCTCCTCCTCCTCCTCCTCCTCCTCCTCCTCCTCCTCCTCCTCCTCCTCCTCCTCCTCCTCCTCCTCCTCCCTCCTCCTCCTCCTCCTCCTCCTCCTCCTCCTCCTCCTCCTCCTCCTCCTCCTCCTCCTCATCCTCCTCCTCGTCCTCCTCGTCCTCCTCGTCCTCCTCGTCCTCCTCGTCCTCCTCGTCCTCCTCGTCCTCCTCGTCCTCCTCGTCTTCCTCGTCCTCCTCGTCCTCCTCGTCCTCCTCCTCCTCCTCCTCCTCCTCGTCCTCCTTGTCCTCCTCGTCCTCCTCGTCCTCCTCGTCCTCCTCCTCCTCCTCCTCCTCCTCCTCCTCCTCCTCCTCCTCCTCCTCCTCCTCCTCCTCCTCCTCCTCCTCCTCCTCCTCCTCCTCCTCCTCCGCCTCCTCCTCCTCATCCTCCTCCTCCACAATCTTCCCCTTCTAGCGCCGGATCTCCGCCTCCAAGGCAGCAATCTTCCTCCGCGTTCTCCTTAGGGCCTCTTTCTTCTTCTTGCTCATGACCACCACTGGTGTTAGCGCCACAGCATCCTGGCAGCGGTGCCTCTGCTTGGAGGCATGCCAGATCTCGACAATCTCCTCTCACTCCATGTCGTACTGCTGGAGGAGGGAGACACACATGTGGTCAGAGAGTCGCGTGTCGCACAAGTTACCTCGGGCCTAGCTCTTTATGACGTTATGTCTGCTGAATCCCCAGTCGCACTCCACCATGCTGAGTGGCAGCACAGCCGTGGCGACCCAGATCTTCATGATGTCCGGGTACGCCATCTCCCAGTCCTTGGTGGCGAGCATGTGGCTAAGGCTACTGTGAAAGGACAGGTCGCCGTGGTGCCGTTGCATAATGTTGCAGAAGGAAGAGAGCTCCTGCCTCACTTTCTTCTAGCTTACTCCTGTGGTGGGGAAACAAGAAATATACAAGAGGCACATTAGCCATGATGAAAGTATGAAGTGCATAGGCATGCAGCATCTCTAGGGGGGGTAGCATTGCAAGAGTAGACAGATGACGGAATGCGAGCTAACCTGGCAAAGGCTTGTCATGGAACTGCTTCTTGATGGAACCAAGCCACTCTCGGCTCTTGCACTCGTGGTCCGCCTTGCCCAGGAGGTAGACGTTGGACAGGAAGAGCTTCGTAGTGCCCAGCTGCTGCACGTCGGAGAGGAGCTGCTCCAGGGACTCCATCGTCGCTTTTGCCATGGCTCCGCAGAGCTCGGTGCAGCTTGCCTTGTCGCTCTTGTACATGTGGCTCGAGATCTTCTTCGTGTGCAGGGTGTAGACATGGCGGATCGGTGTGCCGTCCTTAGCTTGGCCTTCGACAATAACCTGACTGTCTAGCACATGCTTTGCCAAGAAGGCGTGCAGATGCTTGCTATTGGCCGTACCAAAGAGATGGCCGTAGTCGACGTAGAGCGAGTGGATGACTTTGATGGTGACCTGCACCTGGTTGGCCATGCTCGTGATGTCCACTTGCAAAACCAACACCAGGAAGAGAGTCAGTTGAAGTCACAAAACACATCAAAGAACTTAGAAGTATTACCTGGTGCCGATGGAACTTCCGATTAAGCCCATTTCACTCCTTCAGCAGGTCCACGAGGAAGAAGACGCAGAAGTGGAACTTGCATCCACGTGCCACCGCGTACGTCGTGAAGTCGTACTCATATAGCAGGAGGATTGCAGCTGGCAGGACATCGATGAGCCGTTCAATGGCCTCTGATCGAGACAGCCAACGAATGGCGAAGATCAACTGCAGCTCCAAGAAAATCTTCTGCAGCACCTATTGAAGCTCTCAGAAACGGGCATGCCACACGGAGGAGCATCCAAGGATCTTGGCCAGCATGCGTATGATCTCATCGATGAAGTCGAAGTCCTTGTACTTCGAGGCCGCGTCTTTTGCCGCAAGGGCCTCCCTGGGAAAGAGAGACGACCGGGAAAGATGTCAGTTTACTGGTGGAAAAGAACAAGCAACGTTCAAACAAGTGAAAACCGATGCTTACCGGTGGGCGATGCAGTGCCACGAGACAAGATGAGGCACGATAGCTCAAAGGCGAGTGACGAGACGCCCCCCTGCCCGCCTCGGTCGTACACGCACTCCTCCGTGCGATGAGCAGTGCAGATGCTGCATTTGATAGATGGCCGTCCCTTGTCCGTCTCCGTCAGCTCAAGCCAGGGGAATTTCTTCACCCATTCTATCTCGTACTTGTGCTTGAGCTCCTTAAACGCGCTGAAGTGTCGACAACCAGATCTGGTTCGTCTTCATTGCCGGCACCCTCGTCCTCGTCGTCTTCTTCTAGGTCCATGGCTGAAGAGGAACCAGGTGTTAAAGTTAGAACTGAAAAATGAACTAGAAGTGGAAACCTAGAACAAATACTAGCTAGTTCTACTCACTAGAAACATACCCCATTCTAGCCTATAACTTGTACACAGCTAACATGTATAAGTTGACACACCCCCTAGGCTAGACAAGGGGTGAAGCTAAGCAAGAAGCAAACAGCTCAGGGTGGAACTACTAGTCCAACCACTGAGGCAGGGGTCCAAAGACCAGTCAGCAAGAATACAAACAAAACCAAAGCAAGCCAGGGCGGCACTACTAGTCCAGCCACTGGAGGTAAGGCCACAAGGCCAGTCTGACAGGCATATATAAATAGAGAGTACACAATCAGGATCCTAACAGGTGAGAAGCTACAGGAACAAGACCAAGCTGTACACAGTGCCGCTGATGATCTTTAGGCGCAAGCGCCTTCGTAAAGATATCAGCTGTGTTGGCACCTGAGGCCAAGTGAACTACGCGGGCCTGGCGGCGCTGCTGTAGCTCGCGCAGGAGGAAGTACCGCAGCTGGATATGCTTCGCTCTGCCCTCAAGCCGAGGCTCCTGACACAGGAGTATCATGGCCCTGTTGTCAGTGTACAGGACCGGGGCAGAGCTAGGCCGCTCACCTAAGTCTGTGAGCAAGAAGGTCAGCCAGCGGAGCTCCTGTGCCGCCATGGCACCAGCGTAGATCTCAGCCTCACAGCTGGACTGAGCAACAGACGACGAGCGAGTGGATCTCCAAGAGATAGCACCCGAACCAAGGCTGAAACAGTCGCCCTGCGACGACCTGAGCGTCTCAGCGTCGTCTGCCCAAGAAGCGTCTGTGTGCCCAGTAAGGACCACTGGCCTGCGTCCTCCTAGCACTAACCCCATGCCCGATGTACTTGCAAGATAACGCAAAACCCTCTTAGCGGCAGACCAATGCTGAGGTCAGTGTCTCCATGTAGCCACAAAGCGAGCCAGGATGCTGAGAGGGTATGCGAGATCTGGGCGAGTGCAAGTCATCAGGTACATGAGGCAACCCACCAGCTCTGCGTAGGGGCCACTGGGCTCTACGGGCTCCTCAGGAACGGGAACAGAGAGCCCATGGTCTACAGGTAGAGGTGTGGGCTGTGCGGAGGAGAACTGAAGACCGAACCTCTGAAGGACCTGACGCACCAAGTGTGACTGTGTCAGAGTGATGGTGCGTGCTGCTCTGTCCCTAGAGATCTGCAGGCCAAGATAGCAACGCAGCTCTCCAAGGTCATTGCAGCTGTGTCTCTTTAGCAGCTCGGCCTTCACAGAGGCCAGTGCGTCCCTGTCAGCAGTAGCGAATACCAGATCGTCTACGTAGACAAGGATGTAGAATGGAGTCTGGCCGGAACGCACAAACAGCGAAGGGTCAGCAGAGGACGGAAAGAACTGCAGGTCTGCTAACGTGGCCCGCAGCGTGTCGTGCAACTCGCGAGGAGCCTGACGCAGGCCGTAAACCGGGCGCCTGAGAAGCCACTGGGTCCTAGGGGGGAAGGTACCAGTGCAACCCTGTGGTCGGCGCAGGTAGACCTGCTCGTGTAGGCTGCCCTGAAGAAAGGCAGTAGAGAAGTCGAGGGAGTGAAGCTCATAGTCGCGCTGTGCTGCTACGTGTAGCAGCGCCCGAAGAGTGGTCATCTTCGAGTCGGGGCGAAGGTCTGGAAGAAGTCAACCCCCTCGCGCTGACTGAAGCCTCTGGCCACGTAGCGTGCCTTGAAGACAGGCGGCTCTCCAGGGGGGCGCTTCACCTTGAAGAGCCACCGACCATCGACTACGTTCACCCCAGGCAGGGGAACTGCGTCGACGTAAGTGCCGGTGGACCTCCAAGATGCCATCTCCTGCTCCATGGCAGCTATCCACTGAGAGGCCCAAGGTCCCGAGGTGGCCTTAGCGTAGGTGCGAGGGGTCGGGATGTCGAAGGCATCTGGGTCACCCTCAGGGACTAACAGCATGGAGCAGAGATGGGGAGCAGCCTCAGAAAGGAAAGCAAGCTCGTACTGCCTGTCCTCTAGGACGTCACTGCCAAGGGCAGAAGCACCCCCGACGGACGGAGGACGGGCAGGGTCAGAGACCACAGAGGTAGCATAGTCAAGGCGGCGGGTAGAGGCGAAGTCAGCGACAGCAGCGACAAGCGCGTCAAGGCGCGAGAGAGGAACAGCAGGGTCGGTAACAAGAGAGGAAAGGACCTGAGGGACAAGGGGACGAGCGGCACGGAGGTAGTCAGAGAACGGAGGAGGTGCAACAGCAAGGGACGAGGGAGGAGGGGACGGGAGGAGGGGAGGACGAGACGAGCGGGAATGGAGCAACATAGGGTGGGTGGGAAGGACAGGAGAGACAGGACGAGCACGGGAGGGACGGCGAGACCAAACGTGAGACGGAGGTGTAGGGTCAGGGGACAGCGGAGGGGACATAAGAGGGGAACGAGGAGGAAGACGGGCCGGAGACGAGTCCGGCGGCGGGAACACAGGACCGTAGAAAGGAAGGTCAGCAGGCGGTGGGGGAGACACCGGCCCGCGGTCCGGGGAGGGAAGGCCGAGCAGGCGGAGAGCGGAGACCGGTGGCGACGGCTGCTGCGACGACGGCTGGGCCGGAACTCCCGGACCGGCATAGGCAGGACGACCGTCGGCAGAACACTCAACAGCAGCACCCCTAGAACCAACACCCCCAGAGCAAGAACCCCCTCCAACACCAGCGGCACCCCCAGAAGCCGCAGGACGAACACCCTCCTCAACACCAGCACCCCCAGGGGCCAAGAGCGGCGGCGGCAATGGCGGCGACGACTGCGGCGGCGGCGGCTGCGGCGGCGGCGACAGCGGCCACGGCTGTGGCGGCGACGGCGGCGGCACCTGCTGCGGGGTCGGCGACTACGACAGTGGGGGCGGAGGCACCGGGGAAGGGGGACGCGGCAAGGACGGACCGGGGGTACCACCAGAGTCAGCAGACTCCTCAACGGGGACAACCAACGGGAGGGGAGTGACGTGAGAGACACCAGACGGGGCAGGACGAGGCGGCAGAGGGGCAGGGGCTACCGGGGGAGAGGGAGCAAGGAACAGGGGGGGGGCAACCGAGAGACCTCGGTGAGGGAAGCGGCGGTAGAAGGAGACTGACTCGTCAAAGGTGACGTCACGAGAGTGGAGGAAGCGGGGAGACGGCGGGTGGTAGAAAAGCCAGTCAGACGAGTCCAGGGGGAAACCGAGGAAGACACAGGGGACAGTGCGGGCAGTGAGCTTGTCCGTGCCAGAGGCACGAACGTGAGCAAGGCAGCCCCAGACGTGGAACGCAGACGCATCACCGGGGGACCCGGTCCAAAGGAGGGTCGGCAAAACCTGCGGCCGCTGGGAGCGTGGCCACAGGTTAAGCTGGTACACTTTCGAAGTACAGTAGAGAGGAATGGGAGAAGCGAAACGGAGGGGAAGGGGGAATCGAAACAGAGGGGAGAGGGGAAGCGAAATGGAGGGAGAGGTGGGGATCGAGGAAAATGGGGCAGTGGCAGAAACCTCCCGCAATTGCAGCGCCATGGGCAAATCGAGGACGTTAATCATACGCGATCATCTAACGGCTGAAATTTGTCGAAACGATCGCGATTGATCGTGGCCGTCAAAGTTTGATGGACTTTCAGTTGACCACACGGGCAATAAAAAACACTTCCTTAAGAAGGGAGCATTGTCGCTAGTACCCTTCAAATTTAGGGTTAGAAACATTGCCAGCTGCGAAACCTACGGTACCTTCTACGACTTGACCGTTAGCCTTTTTTATGGGTTGTGGGAGTGTGGGAGGGGGGATAACTTGTGTACAATAGGACTAAGCTGGTTTTTTTTTTTTTTGCTGTCACTGCCTATCAAGAGTTAGCTAATTTTTGTGGGTTGTTGTTAGGTGTGTAGGGGGGATGTCCTTACGACACATGACTTAGCCGATTTTTGTGGGTTGCTTGGTGTGTGAGGGAATGTTTGAGGACTTGTGTGTTGTAGTAGGTTGTTGTAGGTGGGGGGGAATGTCTCTGGAGCAGGGCCTCAGATTACAGGCTTTTTACCCTGATTCAGGGTAAAATCAGGGTTTTTTTCGGGGGTGACCCTGATGAGACAGGGTTTTTTTTTAGCACGGGCCTGAAATTTCAGCGTTTTTTTAGAAGTGAACTCTGATCGATCAGCGTGACTAGTGTAGTGAGGCCTGTTTTTCCAGCGACGTATTGGGGACCGACCCTGATACTACGTGTAATAGCGGATTCCGAGCCCCAACCCCTCCCCCCCCACCCCGTTATTTCCGAATTTCCCCCCCACCCTCCCTGTCAATCACGCCAACTTGCTGTGGCGTGGAGGACTTAGGGGGAAAAAAGGGTAGTGGGGAAAGGGGGGGTGCTGCTGGTGGAGTGACGTCTCTGGCTGAAATACTTGGCGGAAAAAAAAATCAGGTTTGCAGTGTGCGTGGGAGGAATGTCCCTGGCCGTGAGGGACTTTTTCTTTGTGGCAGAATTTTCGAGGTTGCAGGGGGGGGGGGGTTCTGTTTCTTGGAAATCAAGTGGGGCCTCACTTGATTTTCGTGCAGGGAATGCACGAAAAACAGGAATAGCGGAGGGGGGTCCCTCTTAAACCCCCTTGCAGAAAAAGCCGAGGCCCACGTGGCCAGCGACAATGTCGCAGGGGGGCTGCACGACGCGCCAGGCTGTAATAGTTTTTCGCCTCGAGCCCACATTGGCTAAAACACTCGCGCAACCAAATTTCAGGGCACTGGGACGCTTCGTTTTTTCGCTAGGTTTCGGGACATCGATTTTTCGCACCCACTCAACAATCAAAAGGGACCCCCCTCTGCTATGCCGTCAGGTTTCAAACAGCGTGTTTTCTGTAGTTGACCCTGTTTACTCAGCGCAAATTTTATAAAACACCCTGATTGATCAGCTTAAATTTTTTTGCGAGGCCTGAAAAAACAGGGAGCTACGAGGGGGGGACCCTGAGCGATCAGCGTGCCCCAAAACGAATCTGAGGCCCTGCTCTGGAGATTGGGGACTTCGCCTAAATTTCCGCGTTGTGAGCCACATGGATGTCGCACTCAGGGTTCGTACACGTTACTTGTCAAGGTGAGAATGAATGATGACTA